TAGTCATTCTGGCCACATGACCCAGACAGCTGTCTGTGGACAAACACCGGCTCCCTCGGCTTGAAAGCGAGATGAGCGCCGGAACCCCATGGTCTCCTTTGACTGGACTTAACCATCCAAGGGTCCTTTACCTTTTACCCAATGTCAATGGAGCCCACCTGAGAGCTGCTGCAACTGAGTTCCAGTGAGTTCTGGCTGAAGAAAAGCCCTGGTCCCAAGGCCAAAAACAGCTCACCAGGCCTTTCTCTGTTCCTCTTGATTGACTGTTTTCACCCCACTCCAAAACCCACACATACCCCTCAAGGAGAAGTGATGCATAACCTGCAAATGCCCTAAGCTGTGTGCAAGGCAGCGGTCAAAGGTCTGAGTAGATGTACCGTGTTGTATCAAGCTACCCACTACTGCAGCTCTCGGGTTCATATCCCATACTTCTCCAGAGAGTCACCACCCCTCGGAAAACAGCTTTTCAAGAAGAGGAGCAAAGGAGGCTGCAGTGGTCGCAGGGAATCAGCGAACATTAGGTTTCCACTAATGCCAGGCACCCTTCGGATAAAACCCATAGTCCACCCCATTTACACATGGGGAACCATATTTGGGCTACATAGTGGTGGTGGACGGGGACAGAGGCAAACGTGTGTGTGGCCAGAGACAGTAAGCTACACTCTAGCCATGAAAAAGCCAGAGATTTATATGCACACATCATTCCTCCACCCAGGCAAGTGGCAGGCAGCTTCAGGGCATGTCGCAGCCAGGCAAAAGCACTTGCGGAAAGTGTTGAACAGGACAGTGAGGCCTGGGGAGAGGTGGTGTGCCCTGTAGAAGGGGCATCACCCATGGGGAGTTCGGAGGGATGGAGATAGAGACCACATCTGGACCTCAGACCTGAAATTCTCCAACCCTGGTCTAGATAGCATGGGCGTGTCTTTTAAGGAATACATAGATTATCTTTTTGCCATTGATATTGCCGTTCACCCCATATACAGTGTGTGTGTGAATTTGCCACACCCCTCCTCCCCTAGAATAAGAGGAGAGGTGGTATCTCCCTAGGGCAGGACATTATGGCCTGAGGGCAATTTTGCCCAATGGGAAGACACAGTGACAGGCTATATAAGCCTTCTCTGCCCCGCGCTCTTCCCTTTTTCTCTGCCTGGAATTAATTTGATTTGGCTACGTTTGTTGAATCTCTCTAGGTCGTTTGTTTTGCAGATCCTCAAGTTGTTATATTTAATAAGTAAAACCCATTTGTCCACATTTGGTTGTCTTGACTCTTCTTCCTGGCAACATAATAGCCCTCACAAAGTTCTCATCAGAAGTTAAAACCACATGCTGCCAGCCCGAAATCTTGCCATACAGGTTTCATTTTTATTCCACGTCCTATGTACTTGGGTGTGTTGACTTTTGAATGATTGTGTGTTTTAAATTAAATGCAGTTTCCCACTGATTTCCAAAAGCTCCCTATGCCTGGAATCCCATTATTCCTAATTAAAGAGCCGTTTCAATTTCTTGCCAGTGTATAACTTCCATTAATGGTAATGGGAATTATCCATGTGCAGTGATCTGAGAACAGGCTCCGAAGGTATTGTGTAAATATTTTACAGCTGGTTGGGTCTTGCCGTCTAACTGAGCAACATGATATTCTCTTAGACACCAGTGTGTGAAGCTTCAGTTGTACAATTAGGCCTGTGCACACTGGTCTGACTCCTTCGTGACTAGGAACAAAACACTCTACTTGGCTTTATCAAGCAAATCAGAAACAAGAAGGGGGCATCTTGTTCCGTTGCGAGGTTTACACTGGGTCATGGACAGTTTGCATATGCTGGGCAAATCCCTGTGGTAAATATAGTACACTAAACACATGGCCTCAACTCACCAACATCTTAAAACATTACATTCTGGATTGTAACAAGAGGAATCCATTCAGAATAAATGTTATTAGGATTTGTAAAGAGAAATGCAAAGCTTAATATCAAATATCTTTTTTCTTTTGTCCAAAACTAAAACATTGATCTAAATACAATAAGAACATAGAAAAAGAGAGAGAAGAAAATGAAAAGGAAGAAAGCAGGAAATATAGAAGGAGAGAGGAAAAAAATAAAGAAGAAATAGACAAGAGATTAAAAGAGAGAGGAGAAAAAATTAAGTTAAGAAGTTAAAGAACTTCCGATTCTTTGTCTGACCACTGTATATAAACAATATTCACTCAAACCACTGCAATATAACACCCCACGAAAGCTATAATGAAAGGAATCCAGATCTCTGCAAAACTGACCTTTGGTCTTCCTTATGATCTGAACCTTAGCAGGCATATGAAACAGGGAAATATAGAAATAAGCTATGCATATTTAATTCCAGGCAATTAAATGGTTTGCATTTGACGGATGCTTTGTAGAACTGTTTCTTCCGCAATCTCTTATTGCAGTTAAAGCTTCTCGCTGTCTGGTCTCTTGAGAACAAGAAATGCTTAGTTTTGCCTTTTCGTGCTTTCGAACATTGTCCTAACTTTACGCCTTAACTCCTCATTTAACAAAGGCTGTGCCTCTGAATTAGAAAATACTTTGTAGTGGGGGAGGGGGGAACCACCTGGATCTGCATGCAGTCTCAACCAAATAATGCATGTTTGCGCAAAGCTTAAATGTTTGTTTTTGGATGGAAGAATCACCCTAGCTAGCCAACAGAAGACAGCAGCACCTACATACAGTTATTAAATCTTTTCTTAGCTGGGAAATTAGTGTCAAATTGCATAAGCCTATAAACTATGTCGGTGTGAGACAGTCTCATTAATTTGATGGCTGAAGGTAGGCTTCTCAAACAGCAGGTTTCTCATCCCCTAGCTTTTTCCTCCCTCTTTTTTTTTTAATCAGCTAAAATAATGAGCTGGGGGGTTGAGTTGCTTAACCAGGCCAAGAGAAGAAGAAAGCCGAATCATCTTAAAGCACCAATCCTGGATTTAATAGCCTACAACAAAACACTAAGCAGGTCAGTGTCATGGTTCAGCAATTCCTAAAAGCCCTGTCTGCTTCTCAACAGCTTATCAGCGGTCAGTATAGAAGAGTTCCCAATGAGGGCTGATTTACAGCACTGGAGGGGGAGGGGGTTGCAGGGAAAATGAAGGGCGAGGATCAGAGTGTGCTGTGCGTAATATATATATATAAAATATCTCCAAACGAAACAAAACCCTAAAATCTCAGAAAACGATTCTCCTCTTGTGATAGAGATATCTTGCGGTTTGCATTGACATAAACAGGTCACAGCGCCTAGGAACAGACGACTCAGCAGCATCCCGGTTTGTTTCTTTCTGGGTCAGTGTCTGGCTTTATCTTGTTAAGCCAACTAATTGAACACAAAACCATATGATACCAAATGAGGCAAGTGCATTAAATGAGACAAGATGGGGAGGGTACGCGGAGCAGGTTTGCTTTGAGTGGCATTCGGGGAGATTACATTTCCTTCAGATTTGCTCAGCCTAACGTGGCCGTATCTATGCTTATGTGGTAGGGATGCACAACCAGCCATTCTGTTTCTCCTGCGTTGTGTTGAGAAGAAGAAGAAGAAAAAGAGTTTGGATTTGATATCCTGCCTTTCACTCCCTTTTAGGAGTCTCAAAGCAGCTAACATTCTCCTTTCCCTTCCTCCCCCACAACAAACACTCTGTGAGGTGAGTGGGGCTGAGAGACTTCAGAGAATTGTGACTGGCCCAAGGTCACCCAGCAGCTGCATGTGGAGGAGCGGAGACGCGAACCCGGTTCCCCAGATTACGAGTCTATCGCTCTTAACCACTACACCACACTGGCTCTCAGTGTGAGGCGATGAGAAGAACTAAAGGCATTGTAGAACAGTAAATGGGAACAAAGGTCCGTATAGTTAAAGCTATGGTTTTCCCAGTAGTGATGTATGGAAGTGAGAGCTGGACCATAAACAAGGCTGGTCGCCGAAGAATTGGTGCTTTTGAATTATGGTGCTGGAGGAGACTCTTGAGAGTCCCATGGACTGCAAGAAGATCAAACCTATCCATTCTGAAGGAAATCAGCCCTGAGTGCTCACTGGAAGGACAGATTGTGAAGCTGAGGCTCCAATACTTTGGCCACCTCATGAGAAGAGAAGACCCCTGGAAAAGACCCTGATGTTGGGAAAGATGGAGGGCACAAGGAGAAGGGGACGACAGAGGATGAGATGGTTGGACAGTGTTCTCGAAGCTACCAGCATGAGTTTGACTAAACTGCGGGAGGCAGTGGAACACAGAAGTGCCTGGCGTGCTCTCGTACATGGGGTCACAAAGAGTCGGACACGACTAAACGACTAAACGACTAAACAACAACAACAACAACAAAATGGTTGCTCCAACCCAAAACTCTGCATGTGCTCCAACGTGCCCGCAGAGCTCTTGGGCAAATAGCTGACCCATCCATTTCAATGGAGACAGAATTGCTTATTCGATAGAACACCCGTTCAGCACTTCTGCCGCTGAAATTAAATGCAGAGATTACAGCAAATTATTTTATTTGATAAGGACTTTAACACCATGCTTCCCCCTCCCTCCCCACTCATTAGTTTCTTGAACACTCGCTCAGGAAATTTTCTGTGTCGTTTGTAGGGTTGCCACACGGTGAACCCAACACCATTCAGACTATTTTATTCACAGTGTTAGGGCTTATTCACACTTAACCTTTTGCACACTCTTTCCATACAGAAAGTGTCTGTATCTAAGCGGTTCTCCCTGCAAGCTTTGCCCCATGAAAAATCCACTCTTTAAAGCTGGATTGGAGCAAACGTCAGTTCGGGGTTTTGGGGGATTACTGTTTGCTCTGAATGTGCTTTAAAGAGCAGGTTTTCATGGGGAAAGCTCCAGGGCAAAAAAAGGGCACACTGGAAAGACTGGAGGAAAGGCAAGCTCTTAGTCTAACAGACTTTCATTAAAAGTCTAACTACCGCAGTTTGATGTATTTGATTGTCTGTGAGCTCCAGGTGTGGTGTCCAGTTAGACTATATGTTTACGGCACATGACCCTGGATAGCTCAGTTGGTTAGAGCATGCTGCTGCTGCTACCAAGATTGAAGGTTTGATCCCTCTATGGGGCAGGTGCATATTCTTGCATCGAAGGGGGCTGGACTTAGATGATCCTCAGGGTCCCTTCCAATGCTATGACTCTATTACTCCTTCATTTATTTTAACACAGTATTGGGTTAAGGCTTTGCAATGGCCCATTTTCCATTTCCTTGCCCTTTGGACCATTATGGTCAAATTAGGAATCTACATTGGATCCAGACATACCTTTCTGCAACTGGAAGGGCTCCTTCTCCTTTTGTAAGGGACTCCGATCTAGCAGAAGCTCTTTCTGGAGCACCATCTTCCATACTCTTCCAGAGGACCCTCTAAAGCAGCTTTACATGGGGGCAGGAGAGAAATAATAATAATAATAATAATAATAATAATAATAATAATAATAATAAATTTATACCTCGCCCATCAGGCTTGGGGGCTCCCAGCAGAATAATAATAATAACAACAATGGGATAAAACATCGAACATTAAAAATTTCCCTAAACAGAGCTGCCTTCAGATGTCTTCTAAAAGAGAGTTGTTTATTTCCTTGACATCTGATTGGAGGGCGTTCCACAGGGTGGGCGCCACCACCAAGAAGGCCCTCTGCCTAGTTCCCTGTAACCTCACTTCTCGCAGGGAGAGAACCGCCAGAAGGCCCTCGGAGCTGGACTTCAGTGTCCGGGCTGAACGATGGGGGTAGAGAAAGGAAAATTTGCCCCAAGGAGCATAGCCCAAGAAAATTCTGCTCCCACAAGTCTAGATCCAATCCTGCATGTTTTTAATAATAATAACAGTAATAGCAAATCACCACCATCTGATTTTTCTTCTTTATTTTAAACAAACAAACAAAGGCTGCTGTGACAATAATGTAACATATCTCGATTTCTCTTTATTGCACTTTAAGTGGCCAGTGATGCATTTGAGAAATGTTAGACTCTGGGCTTACAGTGGGTGTGGGGCTTTTTCAGTGATGACGGATTTCAAAAGGCAGCAAGTCAACCCAATTGCCCTTGGAAGCCCTCTTGCTCACAAGGGCTGAGTGGGGCCCTTGACTTCTGCCCCAAAGTCCTGGCCTGACAGCACCACTGCGAATGGCTGAGATCACAGAGCTATATTTAACACAATTATGCTAGACATACCTTTGGATAACCAGAACGCCATTCCGGCGAAAACCCTCAAGTAAGGGAAAACCTGACAGGGGTGTGATTTTAAACCACCATTGAACAAGCTAGGGGTCCACACTAGATCCCATCAAAGGGAATTATATATAACCACGCTTGCATTTTCCTAGTGCAATTAAATTTGCCTTAAACACACACACACACTTAAGTTATGATAAAAATAACCCAGTCCAGGTCTGTGTCGATTCTTTCTTTTCAGTCTCTGCACATTTGCTATTAGCATAAGAAATGCTGCTTATAGCAGAGCCAGCCGTGCTTGAAATTTCTGAATTAATGGATTTGATTTCCTCTTGAGACAAACCATCAGCCTTGCAGTAATGGAAATAGATATAGTTGGTAAAACAAATAAAACGCTGGCATGCCGATGAGATGAGTTTTGGTTTAAAATAGTCATGGCGTAATTGAAGGGAACAATTACAGGGTTGCCGCTGGGCACAAAAGGAGTGGCGTGTCAATGAAGTAATGTTGTTGTTAAGTGTGTAGTCATTTCATGAAAGTGCAAAACCACAGATGTCATTCTCTGTATTAAAGGGGGGGGGCGGAAACAAAACAAAACACTCAGAAGGGGTGGAATTTGGGATTTCCATTTAGGCTGCCCGACAACGCTTCCTTAATTTTTAATTTAAGGGTCATTCATTTTGACCTTTAGAAACATTTCTTCTTGTAGACAAAAACAGCTTTTCTTTCCTTAAAAAAAAATACAGCTCGGTTCTTTGTAAAGCAGGATCCCTGGACGACTCACAATGGCAACTACGCTAGCCTAGCTCATCAGTTGTAGCATTTAATAAATGTAAAGGTAAAGGGACCCCTTACCATTAGGTCCAGTCATGTCCAACTCTGGGGTTGCGGCGCTCATCTCGCTTTATTGGCCGAAGGAGCCGGCGTACAGCTTCCGGGTCATGTGGCCAGCATGACTAAGCCGCTTCTGGCGAACCAGAGCAGTGCACGGAAACGCCATTTACCTTCCCGCCGGAGCAGTAACTATTTATCTAATTGCACTTTGACGTGCTTTTGAACTGCTAGGTTGGCTGGAGCAGGGACCGAGCAATGGGAGCTCACCCCATCACGGGGATTTGAACCACTGACCTTCTGATCGGCAAGTCTTAGGCTCTGTGGTTTAACCCACAGTGCCACCCGCATCCCTTTTAATAAATGTAAGGTCCCCATAAAAAGAGAAACATAACAGTTGTCAATATTCTCATTTCTTTTCTTTTCTTTCTTTTGAAATATTTTTCATTTGGTTTTCCAAGTATAAAATTATAACAATACATATCCATATTTAGAGGTACCTCTGAATCTCTGGACTTCCTACCTTTCTCTCCATGGGTCCTATTGTCAACCTTTTCAACTGCATATTATTCAGTAATCCATATTTTATGTCATTCCATTTTGTCCATCATATTTGCTACATTACAAGTGCTATTGCAGTCCTGCTAATGTTTCCATCTGCTTTACAGTGGTCTCCCAGATAATTTACAAATTTTCCCCATTCTTTATTAAAGTTTTGGTCTTCTTGGTTCCTGAACTTTTCAGTCAGTTTTGCCATTTTGGCATAGTCCAACAACTTAGTTTGCCATTCTTCTCTGGTAGGGACTTTGTCTCGGGGCTAGTAACATCCGTGCAGCTGTCATCGCATACATAAAAAGTATTTTCTGCTCCTTTGGAATGTTGGTACCTACAATACCCTGCCTATCTGGCTGGGTTTCCCCAGCCACCCTGGGTGGCTCCCAACAGAATATTAAAAATGTGATAAAACATCATAAATTAAAAAATTCCCTAAACAGGGCTGCCTTCAGATGTCTTCTAAAAGTCAGATAGTTGTTTATTTCCTTGACATCTGATGGGAGGGCTTTCCACAGGGCGGGCGCCACTACCGAGAAGGCCCTCTGCCTGGTTCCCTGTAACCTCACTTCTTGCAGTGAGGGAACCTCCAGAAGGCCCTGGGCTCTGGACCTCAGTGTCTGGGCTGAATCATGGGGGTGAAGATGCTCCTTCAGGTATTCTGGAGCTTGTGGCTCAAAGACTGCTGTTGAAGGGCCTGCATGCGGGAGAAATTGAAACAGATTAGGCATTGCATTGAGTATATATGTGAGGGAGACCCACATTCAAATCCTTGGTCATCTATGAATAACAGTTGCTGAGAATCACAGGTAAGGAAGGACATAGTTGCTCTCAGGTTCTACTTGAAAGCTTCCCATAGGTATCTGGATGGCCACATTGGGAGAAGAGAGTTGGGCTAGATGGGCCTTCACTGGAAGGACAGATCGTGAAGCTGAGGCTCCAATACTTTGGCCACCTCATGAGAAGAGAAGACTCCCTGGAAAAGACCCTGATGTTGGGAAAGATGGAGGGCACAAGGAGAAGGGGACGACAGAGGACAAGATGGCTGGACAGTGTTCTCAAATCTACAAACATGAGTCTGACCAAACTGCGGGAGGCAGTGGAAGACAGGAGTGCCTGGCATGCTCTGGTCCATGGGGTCACAAAGAGTCGGACATGACTAAACGACTAAACAACAACAACAAGCAGACTCTTCTTAGATTCTTATGTACTGTGCAAGTCAATACCCGTAGGAGCGACAGCAGATGCCACATGGCACATATATTGTTCACATACCAAGCAGGAGCAGTTGGAACCTACTTTAAACATCATTTATGGTTGGGGAAAGCTGAAGTCCCCCCCTTCCTTTTGTCCTCAAACTTCTTCATACCAGAACCGAGCCAGGTTTGGGCATGGGCTAGGTGGGTAGAAAACACCATGGACAAATGGACCATGGGTTTGTAAGTAGTGGGATAGAAACCCATTCTCTGCACTTGATGTCCAAATTTGATCCCTCACACACCGTGGATGGACACATGGACGTATGAAACTTGGCTGCCACAATCTGGCCCTCAGCCTAACCTATCTCACAGGTAAGCTAAGCGATAGCAATGATAAAGCATGGAAAAGATATGTTTATCATTATCATTATTCATATTATTATTTTCAATATTGCTGTTACATTGGTACCTCGGATTACATATGCTTCAGGTTACATACGCTTCAGGTTACAGACTCCGCTAACCCAGAAATAGTACTTCAGGTTAAGAACTTTGCTTCCAGATGAGAACAGAAATCATGCTCCAGCGGCGCGGCAGCAACAGGAGGCCCCATTAGCTAAAGTGGTGCTTCAGGTTAAGAACAGTTTCAGGTTAAGTACGGACCTCCGGAACAAATTAAGTACTTCACTCGAGGTACCACTGTATTTATTAATACGTATGTGTGGTCCATTGTGTGTGTGTGTGAATGGCAGATAATTCCCACTCTATTACAGTGGTACCTCGGGTTAAGAACTTAATTCGTTCCAGAGGTCCATTCTTAACCTGAAACGGTTCTTAACCCGAGGCATGCTTTCACTAATGGGGCTTCCCACTGCCGCTGCACCGCTGGCGCGTGATTTCCGTTCTTATCCTGGGGCAAAGTTCTTAACCTGGAGCAACCACTTCCTGGTTAGCAGAGTTTGTAACCTGAAGCGTCTGTAACCCGAGGTACCACTGTAATGGTTTTGCATACATTTCCCCCCCCCCATGAATTTGGTAAATGAATTTCCCAGAAGCACGAGGCAAGACTCCATAGTATAAAGCAATGTGTTTACAAAGGCTATTTTACAGTGCTCTCGCTGAGATTTTACCGCTTTCTTCACACTGTCATACTTACATAAATACACCAGCGTAGAACTGGGCAGATTGCTGAATCTCCAGGCATTTCAGAGACTTCCCCTCCACACACACGCAAACAAATTAGCACCAAAGCACACCCTCGTCTCCAGTGTGTTTACTACCTTATCTGGCATTTTAAAAAGAAATGTTTTAAAG